AAAATTATTTTAGTATGCTCAATTCAAGTTTGAAATTTTGAATTTCTATTATATTCTAATGTAAATTTATTAACAGTACATCCTAATCAATTATACATTTTCTTTCTATTCAAATCTCTTCATCTTCTTCCCTACATTTTAATTATTTTCTCTTCTTCTTCTTCTTCTTCTTCTTCTTCCTTACTCCACAACTCCAATCTGCCACACCAAAATCCACCATTATTATCAACATAATTATTTTTTAGGGTTAATTATACTAATAGTCCCTATATTTTGGGACTTGTGTCACTTTGGTCCCTGACTTTTCAATTATGACACATTTGACCCTGAATTTTGAATCTTCTTTCAAATAAGGACAATTGAAAATATCATTAGATTTTTCAAGGATAAAATCATCAATTTGATAAAATATAAACTAATTTGACAAAAATAAATGTCAAAAAAATATTTTAAATTTTTTAAAAATTATTTTTATCCACCAATGATAAAATTATGTAAAATTAATAAAAAAAATTACATGATTACATGATCATCATCCAAACACATAATAAAAATTAATTTGGTAAAACAAATAAATAAATATCTAAAATATTTATCAATTTTACATAATTTTATTTTTAGTAGGTAGAAATAATTTTTAAAAATTCAAAAATATTTGTTTGACATTTATTTTTGTCAAATTAGTTTATATTTTATCAAATTGACAATTTTACCCTTGAAAAATCTAATGATATCTTCAATTGTCCTTATTTGGAACAAAATTCAAAATTCAGGGTCAAATGTGTCACAATTGAAAAATCAGGAACCAAATTGACACAAGCCCTAAACTATAAAGACTATTAGTGTAATTCACCCATGGCAAAAACTATCTCTGCAATTTCACCCGAAGAAAAACCATTCCCATTCACAAACCTAGAATCAAGATTAGGGCAAGAATTCCCATCAATCTTGCCTGAACTCTTTGATCTAAGTCTAGTAGGAATTGAATATCTGTCATTGAATTTCTTTGCCCTAAACCCAGGAGGTACCAAATCTTGATCAATTGGGATTTTTATGTAAAACCCACCATCTGAATCAAAATTAGGTCCAAAATTCCCATGAATCTTCTCAAATTTTTTACTTCTAATTGGGCCTTGAAAATCAGTATATCATTATTAATAACAACAACTACACAAAAATAAAATTAAATTATAGTACTGAAAAATCCATACCATCCTTATCTAAAATTCAACTACACTACACCAAAATCCACACCATCTCTTTCCAACCTCTCCACCTAGGGTTTCGTTTTCTTCAAACGATGCACCAAGCCTAATCAATCTCCACACTCTCTCTCTCTTTCTCTCTGATACATCTGTACTCTCTGACAATGTCGACGGCGAGACCATCTCATTCTCCGACCGAGAACAACAATAACAACGGTGTCGATGCGACGCCGTTTCTTATAGACCAGATCCCCTGCAGCGCGGCTCGGTTCCTCCGTCGTGCCAGTAGCCGGAGAATGATACGCGAGCCGTTGATGCGAGTGTGCAAGTCAACGATGAAGTAGATCGAGGATAGATAGGGCAATTGGGCATATTCACTTCTCGATCATAATTCTCAATCTCGTATAGAACTTGGAGTGGATAGATCTGAGATGTGAGAGATAGAGAGAGAGAGAGAGAGAGAGAGAGAGAGAGAGCGAGCAAAAAGAGAAAGAAGAGAGATAATATGGGGTGGTGTGAATTGTTTAAATAATGAAAAGAAGAGTTTTTTTTTTTTTTTAAATAGAACATTGTTACCCACTCCGGTGACAAAGTCGACGAGACATAAGCAACATAGTACACCGTCTCAAACACTAATATAAATGGAATGCTTAAGTTCTTACAACAAATTACCTTTTTCTGTTTTTACTTTAGTTTTATTGGGATGCATTTATATTTGAGTAATTTTACAAAATTCATTTGAAAGTCGAAACCAACAAGACCTATATTTATATTTTGACTTCAAATTTTAACAACAAATTTAATAAATTACATTTTAACTCGATAAATTTATATTCAATTATAATTTGATCTCATCATTAATTGCACCATACCTTTAGGCACGGGCATATACTAGTATATATGTATAGATTACTTCACACTTTTGTGGGAAGACTCATACAGATTCATACAAATTTCCCCACCCAATTCATACAGATTAACCACAGTATTTCGTTTTATACCTATGATTTTGAGAATTACATTGAAAATATCTCATTGCATTAAAAAATTAAGGTAGAAATTAATAAATTGATATACCTGAGGATTTATTGAGAGAGAAGAGAGAAGCAAATGGAGATTAGAAAACCTAAAACCAAATCAGTTCCAGTGAGATTATAAAACCAAAAACCAAAGACAATTGATCAGTTTACCTGACGAGAGAGGAAGAGAGAGATATAGAAAAGAGAATTATAGTGTGAATCTAAGAGAGAGGAAGACAGATATACTTGAGGATTTAGGCGGCGGAGCGAGTTGGCGGCGCCAGTGGAGCAACGACACTGCCAGTGAAAGACGAAGGCGTGAAACAAACTCTCAACCTGAGAGAGAGAGAGATAGAGAGAGAGAGAGAGAGAGAGAGAGAGAGAGAGAGAGAGGATGAGAGTTTACCAATACTGAAAGTTTATCGCGAAGAAATTGGGGATCAAATTAGGGCTGTATTATTGGAGACAGAAATCATGCCATCTCAAAAGAAGAAACAAAGCAAAAATACGTTGTTTTAATAAATTTTTTGGCAATGGTTTTTCCCCTTGCAAATAAACTACTTTTCGTGACAATTAGAGTTGTTTCCGTTGCTAAAAAAAAACATTTTTCACCTTTTTATTTGCAATAGGCACTTTCCGTCTTCAAAAATATACATTAGCGACGGTTTACGTAATCCGACACAAATTGTGAGT